TGTACGATGTTATTCATATCTGTAGAAATCAATACCAAAGAAGTAAGCGGTCCAATGAATCGGTCAAACTAACTTCTAATTGGAATGGACGTGATAGTCTTCACTTCCAATTAAGAGTATAAAACAAAAATTTAAGAGTTTCTCCCAAATACTTCTTCCTTGCAAGGTTCGTCGAAAATTTGAGATGATCCTGGATGAATCCACCATGAACCCATCATACTTCCAACAATTGTGCAAATTACATCGTAATTTGCCATCATTACTATCTAGATTTTTGAACGCCATATCTTCGTTGTTTGGATATTTCTACTATAGTTATACAAATATTTGCCATAGTGTTGGGTTGAGAGCGTAAACCAGCCCAAACAACAGTAAAGCTCTCATCAACGCAAACTTTACTCGCCTAGGACACACTCTGACCACATCAGCTGTTTTCAATCGCAAATTCGTCGCCGCCGTCGTGGAGCAGCACCTTGTGAAGCTGCACAAACATTTCGACTCACGTCTGATTGTTTTTTTTTGCTGCGAATTCATGAACAAATCTGGTTTTCCCCATCGTTTACTTACAATTAAGCAAGTCTCTTCTATTCCAAAATTTTTCAAAAATAATAACTTTAGGAAGGAGTTCTGTTTCTATTGAGTGACTTAAAGGAATTTCGTTCTTGTCCATGGATCCCATTCCATGCTGTTAAAACAATTTTTCTCGGTGCGCAATTTGGCTGGGTTTTCGCGACCATTGTCAAGAAATCACGAAAAGGTTCTTGTTTTCCCTAGTATTGTTATTGTTATTCCTATTTTTAAGGTTTTAATTTATCTTCATCCATTTTATTTCCTATGTAATATGTGTTCAAAATATCCGAATTTCAAATTTTGGTAGCTTTCCTTTTTTTAGACGCCTCTAAATTCCAAATTTTTAGATGGCTCAGCAGAATGCAGCGGTTTCTGTGGACAAAAGCGGTAATTTTGTTTTGCGGATTTTGGCGAAACCTGGAGCGAAGGTTAGTGCTGTGACAGGTGAGCTGCCTTATAGCAGTGAAAGCTGGGGTACCGTAAATAAACGGAATATTAGACTCCGTCTTGCTATTGAATTCACAATTCTGTCACTCTGGAAATTAGTTCTTTTAGGGTTTTGAGGGGAAACTTTGAGTTTGGATTGTCTTCACTTGTAGTTGCCTGCCTGTAGTTTTCGAAAAATAGACACAGTCAAAAGCCTTTAGCGAAGTTATGAGCTACTCTTCGCTGCCTTTTTACTTTTTTTTTGCAAAAATCCTATCTGTTATTTGAATCAAAGACAATCAATTACGTTTTTCATTTCAATGGTTCCACTGTGTATCATCTTCACTGTGTCAATCGTGCAAAAAATATGATTCGTAGATTATTTTGCTCCTCTAATCCTATATCCTACTCCTTTGATCCCATCTTGTTTAGATGTTGGAGAAACGGAGATTGGTGTTGCTATAGCTGCTCCAGCTCGCGAAGGGGAAGCAAATGAAGAACTCATCGATTACATGCGAGGTGTCTTAGGTTTAAAGAAGAGCGAATTGT